AGCAGGGAATTCTTAGCCCGGCTCATACTAGAAGTGGTTCTCCCTACCAGCCCCCTCCTGGCCCACCATGCCCCACTCTTAACCGGCCACCCGCCCAAGGTCCAACAGCCCCAAACCCGGACTCAACTACTGAGATCTTGGAAGAAACTCCGGCGATTCTCCCTCTGCGGCAAGCCCTAGGGCAAATGTGGGTGGGACGGGACCCCGACACTTTATGGTTTATGTCCCTTTTTCTACTAGTGACTTCTACAATTGGAACAGGACCTAATTGTCATAGCCACACATGCGATAGAGGCCCTTCTCTGGGGGGCCGCAGCAAAATGGATTTCCAATACCCGGCTCACCCACTATCAGGCACTGCTTCTCAATCAGCCACGTATCAGGTTCCAGCGAACTGCCAGTCTAAATCCCGCCACCCTGTTGCCGGCGGGGACCTGCAGCACCTATGACTGCATTGAGCTCACTGAGTTCCTCCAGAAGCCGCACCCGGACCAGACAGGCGTTCCTTGGCCAGAACCAGACTTAACCCTCTGTACGCACAGCAGTTGCTTCATGGAAAATGAAACCAGGAATGCGGGGGCAGCAGTGGTAACACTGCAGAACACCGTATGGGTCCAGCCCTTCCCCCAGGGACCTCAGCCCAGAAGGCAGAGTTAAACACCTTGACAGAAGCCCTCAAAGCAGGCACAGGAAAGACTGTCAACATTTATACTAACAGCAGGTTTGCCTTTGCAACTGTGCATGTACATGGGACAATTTACAAAAAAAGAGGGTTGCTCACCGCTGAGGGAAAAAGTATAAAAAATAAAAAGAAAATTTTAAACCTCTTGGCAGCAGTCTGGGCTCCAGAGAAGGTGGCAATCATGCATTACCCAGGTCACCAACAGGGAAGCTCAAATGAAACAGTCGGCAATATGGAAAGTGGATCAAACTGCCAGAGGTGGCACGCTGCCGCACTGCCTGCCTGCTGGCACTACCTCCTCCGGTACTGTGTAAATCACCAGTTTACACGGAGGAAGATTTCTGTATAGCACAGAAATTAAATGCGACCACAAATTCGGAGGGATGGATGCAACTCCAGGACCAGAGGACCATCCTCCCCCAAGCCGTAGGGCACAACCTCCGACGGCAACTCCACGAAGGTACTCATTTGGGAAAAACTAAGTTAACTGAACTCATAAAAAAGGAGTTCTACTTGCCTCACCTGGATCAGCTGACCCAAGAACTCATCCAAGGCTGCATACCATGCCAAGAGACTAATGTCACTAAGGTCAGTGTATCTACTCCAGGAACCTGACACTGGGGAGTAACCCCTGGGAGACATTGGGAAATAAATTTTACAAAAGTAAAGCCAGGGCAATATGGATATAAATACTTGTTAGTTGTGGTAGACACTTTCTTGGGAGGGGTCGAGTCTTTTCCTACAAAAACTGAAACTGCGTCTGTAACAGTTAAGAAACTTTTAAACGACATCATCCTGAGATATGGTCTACCTATCTCAATAGAATCAGATAATGGGCCAGGCTTTGTCTCCAAACTTACAAAAGGTATAGCAAAGGCTCTGGGAATAAATTGGAAATTACACTGTGCTTATAATCCCCGAAGTTCAGGACAAGTAAAAAGAATAAATCGAACACTTAAGGAGACCTTAGCCAAATTAACCCTAAAAACCGGCGAGGGATGGGTGATGCTCCTTCCCTATGCCCTCCTAAGGGCAAAATGTATCCTCTACATCTTAACTACGCCAACAGCAGTGAAGGTAGGCAGTGTCCATCCCTGAATCCATCATTCCCTACTAAAGAAGGCAGCCCCTCCCTAGACTAGCGAGGAACTGCCGATGAAATGGAAGGTCATCAAGCCGGCCGCCGAAAAAACCCACTAAAAATAAGACTTTCACGCCCCGATTTCCTAGGTCCATCATGTAATTGGAGGCAACTGTGTCCCGCGTTCCCAGGGAGGCTAGTAGCCCTCCTTATTCTTTTAAGCCTTCCCCAATGTACAACATATTACCTTCCCCCGCGAAACTCTTCATGGGGACTGGTAAACTCTATTACTGAAACTGTAGTTTCCACCTACATCGGGAATGGGTCACCGGCCTTTAAATTTAATCTTTGTAGACTGTGGCCCAATTTAGCCATAACTGAGTATAATTACCGCCTGGCACTGAGCGGTTCAACCCGTTGGAAAAGGGGCTGGGAATGCATTTCCAAGGACATTGAATATAAAAAACAGGTTGCAGTGTATAACTTCTATGCTTGTCTGGCCGTTGCCCAAAGCCAATGCCATAAGACAGGGCACTTTCATTGTGCTGAATGGGGTTGTGAAACACTTTCCCCTTGGAAAACTGAGAACCCTTTCATATGCCTTCAAAGGCAAAGCAGGGCGCCCATTTGTAATCAGCTTAAAACATGTAACCCCCTAAAACTCACTATTATACAATGGGATGCTTATGGCATCCAGAAAATATGGAAAAAGGGCAGAGCATGGGGACTCAAACTGTATGTTTCAGGAAGGGACCCTGGAACAAAGTTTGCCATACAAAGAAAAGTTATACCCCATGTCCTTTTCCCCATGGGGCCCAACCGTAATCTCTTTCTGCCAAACCCTCAGGCAAGACCTCAGGCCCTCAAACCCATTCAGAACAAGCCCAGGTCAGTTAATTTAACAACTGTTGCTGCAACCTCAAAGCCTATTGCAACCTTAAAACCTACAAGACCAACTGTTACTCTTCCAATTACCCCACTTGGAAACGAAAATCTTTACCTCCCTATGTTAGCAGCCATCCATAGGCTGGCCATTGCCACCCAACCAAACTTGACCAGGGGCTGCTGGCTGTGCCTAGACCTCAGCCCCCCATATTATGTGGGGGTGGCCGTAAACTCCTCAATAAGTAATACCGGGGGGCACATACAAGTTCTTAATCATACTACTACCCAACTCAGGGGATTATGTCCATGGGGACAGAATCCTGCTCTCACCCTGGGAGATCTCCAAGGGCTTGTCACACTTCATCCTATAACATAGAAAGCTCCCCTTATCGGGAAGCTTGTTTGACTTCTTCCAAAATAAATGCCTCCCAGCTGGGCACTCCTGAAGGCCTTAATATGGTTGTTGCACCCCCCACTGCCTGGTTTGCCTGCACACGGGGTATAACCCCATGTGTCGCTCTAAAGCTCTGAGCTCTGTGTTTTGATGCACATACTGCCCCAGGTGTATATTACTGAAGGGGCCGCAGGATAAAAACAACTTAAATTCCAGAATTTTAAACGAACCAAAAGGGTCCCCATCCTAGTACCTATCCTTATAACATTGGGAATCACAGGATCGGCCGCCATGGGGGGTGCTGCGCTGGCCGTAGGAAATAAAAATCTTAAAAAATTAAGCAGGCATGTTAACGCAAATCTGTCTAACCTTAAAACAAGCATATCCCAATTAAAACGACAAGTAGACTCTTTAGCTAAGGTGGTGCTCCAAAATAGAAGGGGACTAGACCTCCTGCTCACACAAAAAAAAGGGGGGGCTCTGTGCAGCATTTAAAAAAGCCTGTTGCTTTTACACCAACAGGTCCAGAATAATCCAGGAAACACTCGCCCTGGTTAAAGAGAATATTCACCAAAAAGAGTCTAAAAGACAGGCTTCAAAAAACTGGTACCAATCCTTATTTTCCTGGTCCCCTGGTCTCAGCCATTGCCGAACCTCTGCTCTTAATCCGAATATTTGTAACCGTGGGGCCATGCCTAATTCAATGTCTTCTAAATTACATAAGAAACTGGCTAACAACCACAAACCTAATGTTACTAAGAACACAAGTTAAGTCCCTGCACAACGAGTCAATGATTTGACTCTAGGAACAACTCAAAGTGGGGAATGTTGGGAGGTGATGAATTTGTAGGAAATAATGAATTTTATACCCTGTGGCATGTAAACAGTTTTGCATTTATAATCTCCCTATATAATGTACAATGTACTGAATTTGTAACCCCACATGTTAGGTGCTGTGTGCGGTGATGTCGCTCAGTTGGAATGTGCTCCAGGAGGGGTCTCTAGGAGATGTCTTATTTGGACTGGAATGCACATTCAGGAGGGTCTCTAGGAGACACCTTATTTGGAAGGGATCAAGTGGTTATGTTAGATTAGCTAACTTGCTCATTCTGCTTCTGTAAACCCCGCTGGCATTATGTGATTGGTATATTTGAATTTCCCGGCTCGCGAGGTGGGTGGGCTCTGACCTATTTAAAGGCAGCCTCTGCCATAGCTCGGGGCCCTCGCTTTGTCACTGCATGTCTGGCCAGCGGTCCCAGCCGGCTGAACCTTGGCTAATAAACCTCTCCCTTGTTAAATTGTGTGTCGGCGCCGTGAAGTAAACACTCGCACCCCACTCCACTACTTCCACTCCTTCCCTATCACCTACTTCCATGTCTTGCTGAAACGCCCGCTGCTCTCAGCCCCTGGTACCTCCCTTGACTTCACTTCAGCTCTCTCTGACTGGAACATCTTCCCCATCATCTCCCAGTTCCTCCCAGCTCCAGATCAGGGAAGGCTTTCTGGAGAAGGTAAGCTCAGGGCTCAGTCTGGAGGGATGAGCTGCATCACTGTTTATCTCCCTAACTCCTATTTCTCTCTCCACACTAGTGCACGCCTTCTCCTTAAGAAAGCTTTCGCTGATCGCCTCACCTCACGCTGGTTTAGATGTGCATCAGTTAGCACTCTTTTGTTCTGGTTGTGATGAGTGGTTTTGGTTTGAGGTTGAGATACTTATCAGCAACTGGGTGGTGCACTCAAATTAGATAATTTAGAAGAGTTTACCAAAGGGACTGTTTTCAAAGATGTTAGCAGGGTTTAGGGAAACCAAAAAGAGCTAGTGTTACACATGGGGACAGAGGGCAACCTTAACCACCACAGGCCTGAGATGACAGGAGGAGCAGTTAACAGAACCGGAGATAATGCAGCTGTGTGGAGAGAAGGCAGCAGGTTAGTGTGACTAATGCCATGTGCTAGAATGATATTAAAATAATAATGCTCATTTAATGTTAATATTTTAAATGAACACTTTTAGCTGATGTTTTTAACATGTTTATACATATTTTGCATCTAAAAGGTATTAAAGTTTTAGTTTCACTGATTATTTTATATGAATTTTAATACTTAATAAAAAACCAGTATTAGTGATAGCATTTCAACATCGCACAAAATACTCAAAGTATTATTTTGTTCTAATATTGAAAGTCTACACTCTTTTGGTTGTAAGTGATAGGAAAACCAGCCCAAACCAGCTGAAGCAAAAAGGGAATCTGTTACTTCACATGTGTAGAAATTCCAGGGCGTGGGCTAACTTCAGACCTGGCTTGGTGCAAGGGCTTAAACAATGTCAGCAGGACCTGAGTGGCTCAGTCTTTCAGCCTGACTCAGTTCTCCTCATTGGGTCACTTTTATTCTCAGTCAGGTCGTCGCTTCAGGGTGCCAGGGGACTGCAGCAGCTCCAGACCTCATACCCATTCAACTCCACATTCAGTAGTGAGGGGCCTCTTTCCCGGAATCCTCTGACGGCCTGCTGCCTCCCACTGGCTCTGGTGGGGTGTCACATCTGTGGCTACAGCAATCCCTGAGTCTTGGGTTGTGAGTCCCAACCGCCCTTGGTGCCTGGAGTGGATTCAGCGTCTCTGAAACATAAAGATTGAAAGGGTAGTTTCCCTAAAGCATAAGAAACTACCCCAAGAAGGGAGTGCTGATACTGGGTGACAAAACAGACACCCTCCTCATATAATGCCCCCTCTGTGCTTCCATGGAATCCTAGACTTCCCTCTTAAATGGCTCCATTCATGCTTTTTTTTTTTTTTTTTTAGCCAGAATCTCACTCTGTCACCCAAGCTGGAGTGCAGTGGCAGGATCAAAGTTCACCACAGCCTCTACCTCCTGGGTTCAGGTGATCCTTCCACCTCAAACTCCCAAGTAGCTGGGATTATAGGTGCACATCACCATGTCTGGCTAATTATTTTATTTTATTTTTATAGAGACAAAGTCTCACTATATTGTCTAGACTGGTCTTAAGCAAGCCTCCCGCCTTGGCCTCCCAAAGTGCTAGGATTACAGGCATGAGCCACTGCACCTGGTTCTTTCATGCTAAAAAAAAAAAACAAAAAAAAAAAAACAGACAATTCCTGGAGAACAGAGACAACTATGTATTCCTAGTTCCTAGCAAATGCCCAGCATTACATAGTTACTCATTAACTGCATAGAGTTAGCATATGTTTAGAAGTTGTAGGTGAGGATGGCTTGCCTAGAGACTCTCTGTCCAACAGTCTGATGGGACAAAGTATTTTAGTTACCTTCTGCGTCTGACTATAGATTTCAGTGTGCCTAGGAATTGCCTGGAAAGCTTTTTTAAAACGGATTTCCTTACTAGGCACAACGGCTCATGCCTGTAATCCTAACACTTTGGGAGACGGAAGCAAGATAATTGCCTGAGCCCATAGACTGGAGACCAGCCTGGGCAACTTGGTGAGATCTCATCTCTACAATAAATCAAAAAATGTGCGGGCATGGTGGCATGCGCCTGTAGTTCCACCTACTTGGAAGGCTGAGGTGGAAGGATTGCCTGAGCCCGGCAGGTCAAGGTTGCAGTAGCCATGACTGTGCCATTGCACTCCAGCCTGGGTTACGGAGTAAGACTCAGACTCAAATAAATAAATAAACAGATTACCCGGCCCAGCCTCCACAGCTTCTGATTCAAGTGTTCTGGGTGGGGCCTCAGAGACTGCATTTCCATCAAGCTTCTAATTGCTGCTGATGCTTCAGGTCCTGGAACACACATTGCATAGCACTGCTCAAGAGGACCTACGAGTGAGACCCTGAGCATCAGGGAAGAGTGTTGTGCTGGCCAAGAGTCAGGCTACCCTTCGTGATGAAACATGTGTATTCAAACGGCGCTCCAGTGACTGCTATATTAACCAAGGTTTTGCAAATGGCTTTGCTCGATGGGGCTCGTAATGAAAGAAGTAGAATTTTCAGAACTATCTGGTAAAAGATTTATTCAATTAAAAGTGATTCAATTTTTAAAGGTATCTGTCCCTTCGTGAAGGCGAAGCCATGCTTTTCTAATTAAAAGCTAATTACTGGCTAATATGCAGGTCTCACTGCTTTGGGCACAATGAGACAGAGGGAGAGGCAGCATCTGGTGGCTGTGCTTCTCCCCATCCCTTGGAGTGCAGGTTGAAGCCTACACCTAGTGTCTCCATTCATTCAACAGGCAGTTTAAGCATTTTAAGAGGAGGATTCAAAGGTTCTGACCACGTCACTCCCCTGCCTGAGACCCTGCAAAGGCTCCCGATTACATTGGACCAAGAACAAAATCTTTAGCATGGCCCATGAGCCCTGATCAGGCTCCTCCCCACCTTTCCAGCCTCATTTCCCAGCACTTGCTCCCTGACTAGGGGTCAGCTGTCCCAGGTTTCTCTTTGTTGGTTCCTCTAACGCAGCGGTCCCCAACCTTTTTGGCCTCAGGGACCAATGTGGTTGGAGACAATATTTCCACCGAGACAGGGGAAGTAGGGAGTGGGGAATTGGGAACGGGGAGCGGGGACGCGAATCAAGCATTAGATTCTCATAAGGATCGGGCAATCTCGATCTCTCGCATGGGCAGTTCACAACAGGGTTCCAGCTCCTGAGAATCTAATGTCTCCGCTGAGCTCACCTCCTGCTATGCGGCCCATTCCTAACTGGCCCCCAGTCTTTTAAGGACTGAATTGTGTCTCCCACCCCCAAAAATGCACAAGTTAAAGTCCTAATCCCTAATGTGACAGCAATTGGAGAAAGGATCTTTAGGACGTAATTAAAGTTAAATGAAGGGGCCTTAATTCAATAGGATTGGTGTCCTTAGAAAAAGAAGAAGAGACACCAGGGTCACTCAGATAAAAGGCCAAGTGAGGACACAGGGAGGAAGCTTCACCAGAAACCAACCCTGCTGCCCCCTTGGTTTTGGACTTCCAGGCTCCAGAACTGTGAGAAAATGAACTTCTCTTGCTTAAGCCACCTCATCTGTGGCATTTTTATATGGCAGCCCTTGTAGACTATCACAAAGTCCTCTTCTGCCTCAAAGCCCTCACACATGCTGTTCCCTCCATCTAAAAGACCCTGCCAACCCTCCTACTCTCAGTCAGACAGACTAATTACTGCTCATCCTTTAGGCCTCAGCTGAAATGTCACCTCCTCAAGTAGACGTTCCCTGATTACTCCTCCCTCAGACTGTTCTTTAGAGAACCCATCAATGAAACAGATTTCAGATTACCAAAACATACCCAAATACAAATGAAAAAAACAAAGCTCATGATCAACACAACATTTTGAATCTGTAGAACAAAGGATGAAGGACTCAACAAATTATGTTGGGATAAACTGGGTCTCTAACTGGAGAAAATAAAAGTTTGGTCACAACCTTATTATTTATACCAAAATTAATTCCTGATGAAAAAAAGATTCAAATGTATAAAATAAAACCACAAAGTTACTGGAAAAGTTTTTACATTCTTGGAATAAGAAAGTCCTTTTTAAAAGTATGATACAAATCCAGAAACTGATATAAAATATTGATTATTTTAACTTTTTAAAAATGTTATTTATGAAAAAATGATAAACAGAGTCACAAGAAGAGTAACAAATTAAGGAAAATATTTGTAACATATTACAAACAAAAGGCTAATTTCTATTAATATGTAAAGAGCTTCCTCAAATCAATAAGATAAACAATCCAATAGGAAAATGTGGAAAAAATAAAATAATAGCCACTGAAATAAAATGGATTTTTAAACACATAAAAAGATTTGCAAATTAAAATGCGATACCATTTCTACCTATTATGTTAGCCAAGTTGATAAAGCTTAATAACAGATTGTTGGCAAGAATGTGAAGAAACTGACACTCTCATTCATATGCACTCTCAATTCATGTGACCTTTACGGAGGAAATAAACCATAATATTTGAAATGTGCAGAGTTTTTAATCCAGTAATTGCTGTTCCAGAAAATTAGCCTATGGATATGCTTGCACATACGTGAAATGACATATGTATAAGAATATTCATTGTGGCATCGTTAAAAACCTAAAAGACTGGAAACAAACTAAATATCCTTCAATATCAGGCTGGTTAAATAAATTGTGTTACAATCCATACAACTGAATATTACACAGCCTTTAATATGAATGAGGAAGCCCCCATGAACTGACGGGAGCATGCTCTAAAATACATTATTGTGTGGAAAAGCAAGCTATTGAAGAGGGTGTCTGCTAGAATGTGTGTTTAAAAATAAAAGAATATGCATGCATATACTTATATGTGCATTGATTAACTTTGGAAGGAAACGTAAGGGACTGGTAACCAAGGCCACCTTCCAGGAAGGGAACTGGGAGGGGCGGGAGACTTCTTTTTCACTGCATAATCCTCTGTAACTTTTGAATTTTGTATGTACTATGTATCAAAATGAATTTTTGATTAAGAATAAATGAATTAAAAGTCATTTCACAGTGGGAAAATACCAACAGGGAAAAAAGTAAAAACAAAATGTTACCAGTGATTGTGTGGCAGTACTTCACTTTTTCTTTGTATTTTTCTATATTTAACTCTATTGCTTTAATAAGCATGTACTGATTTAAAATGGGGGAAAAAATCATTTTTTAAAAGCACCGGCAGAGTCACTAATCAGCATCTTTCCTGTGGAGTCGCATGTGTTCCCAGCTGGAGATGGCATGAAATCCCCCAACCACATCTGTTAATCCTGAGCCATCCCTGTAAAGACCCTCTGAGCCGCTGCATGTGGCTTTAGGGAACCAAGTCATCCCAGCTGCTTCATTGGTCCCACTCCAAGCAGGCTAGGGGCGGGACCTGTGCTTAAATGACAGCAGAGCTCCAACTCCAAGAGGAGGGGAGGAGGCACCGCAGGCCCCTGCAAACTTGGAAAGATCGCAAAAAAGCAGTTAGCATTTGAACAGCGTGTTGGAGTTTGCCAGAAACATCTCAGAAAACATTTTACGTGATTCTCACAACTGCCGTGAAATGTAGCTCTGATGATTTCCCCGGCTACATGTTCTAAGGTCGGGAGTTCTGTCCAGATCTTCTTGTTCTAAATGTTAGGTCCTTTCCACATAATTAAGTTGCTGTGGTGGACACTCACTAAGCTCACCAGAACTGAGGTCTTCTTCCTGGACACACTGCTGGGTAACACCTCCTTGCCTTTCTTGCAATTAAATGTGGTCATTGAATTAATCACGTCTTTTTAAGTCCAATCTGTTTGGCTGTTTGCTTTGTTTTGTTGTTGTTGTTGTTGTTTTCTTTATTTCGATAGCATTGGGGGGTACAAATAGTTTTTGGTTACAATGGTATAGTGGCAAAGAAGTCCGGACTTTAAGTGTATTCACCACTCCTACCTGTGCACATTGTACCTGATAGGTGATTTTTTATTCCTCCACCCTTTCTCCCTCTCCTCTTTCTGAGGCTCCAGTGTCCATTACACCATTCTTTATGCCTTTGCACATCCTTAGTTCAGCTCCCACTTGTAAGTGAGAACATGCTGTGTCTGGTTTTCTGTTCCTGAGTTAGTTCACTTCAGATGATGGTCTCCAATTCCATCCAAATTGCTGCAAAAAACATTATTTCATCCTTTTTGACAGC